CCCCAAAACCCCAAAACCCCAAAACCCCAAAACCCCAAAACCCCGATGGGTGGGACATAAATAGAGAGAAGGAAAAGAATTTATTAAGTCGGGTTATATAAATGGAAACGTATATGACATCACAAGATATGTTAGGGAATACATTAGGTTCACTTCCTTTGCTCTATCTGGTCAATAACTGGTGACATCATGATGTGCTAGGATGGCTGAATGCTCAGCAGGAAGCAGTTTTACCGCAGAGGTCTTATATCAGTATTAGAGGTAAATTTGAAATATCTCAGACCCTAACTTCTACATAGAAAATCAAAGTAAACAGCTCAGCATCCAGTCGAGCTCTTTACCTCATGAAGAGGTCAAAGATAGTATCACTTCATGTTCAGAGAAGCAAGTGCACTACGAAACTTACAAGCAGATAAAATCAGCTTCATCTAAGAAGACACCCGGAATTTCAAAAACTCAGATCTATGAGAAACTCCTCAAGCCCTTCAAGCACCAGAAAAGAGTGGTCACGACTCCTGTTACCCACAAAGAGACAACCGTCTACATCTGAAAGTACGAAGGGTGCGACAAAGAGTACACAAAGATCTGGAATCTGCTCGACCACGTCCGCATGCACGAAGGCATCAAGCCGTACCAGTGTGACTCTTGCTCGAAGTCGTTCACGCAGAAGGGGAACCTCAAGAAGCACATGAAGCAGCACCAGCTGAAGACTATACGCGAGAGAAAGAGATTCGAGTGCAGAATTTGCAAAAAGAAATACACTGAGAAGTACAACCTCAAGGTAAGCATCATTATTTCAATGCTCTTCTTATTGTATTTCTTCAAAAATTCAATGAAATTGCAGAGATTTTTACCAGTGAATCTAAGAATAATTATGGCTTATAGGCTCATATGAAAACTCATGACAAAGCTGAAAGACAGAGAGGGACACCAGCTCAACTCTCATAATTTCATATAATTATTCATAAACATTCATGAAATCTTTGTCTCAATTGCATGGCTTTTGGTCGGGTAAAAATTTATTTGGATGAGGTGTAGCTCTCTTCTTTTGGGAAATTTAAGAAATAGATTTTTGGAAATCGGGGAAATTATGAAGAAAAGTGGGATTTTGAGGGTTTTAATTGGATTTTGGAGCTGAGAGAGTTCTCTTTCTTTATCTACTGATTTGTAATTGAGTGATTTTGTTAACTCTTTATGTTGGAGAGCTACAGGTATGGGAGAGTTTATGAAGTTTGAATTTTTGAGGTGGCTTCTTTCCTTGAGAGTCTGGGTGTTTGGCAGTTTAATGCTCTCAGGCTGTTTATATTATAGTGCTTCTTTGAATTCAAAAATTAAGTGCTGATCAGTTTAGCTTATAACTCTGACTCTGAAGTTGAAATCTCTCCTTTAAGAAAGCTGAATCTGATGAACCAGAAAATTCTAATTCAGTTTTCTGGAAAGCCTTGCAACAACATTTTATAGGCTTATATTTTTATCAAAAGTGGCAGCTGGTTGTTCTCATTAGTTTTTATTGTGGAGTATGCCAGCAAAATACTCTGGAAACCTATTTTCTAATGTTTCACAAGAGACTATATGAGAGATGGGAAATCTTGAGCGAAACTACCATTTTGTGACGATATTTCATAAATTATTAAAATTTAATATGGAGTAAATGGCAAGATGTTTTTGACAAAGTACTTTGACCAAATCTCTGGCACTTTCCAAGATTGGTGCCTCTATGATATGGCTCCCAGTTCTTAGACGATAAGCAGGCAGATAATGCGGTAGGCGACAACTTGGGCACTTTGATGAATTTTCCTAACTTTTTACATTGATAAGTTTATTAAATGGAAATTAAGCAACTGAATTATGGAGAAATTTATACAGCTTCGTCCTGATCTTCTGTTCAGAAAGAGCAGACATTTATAGCTTCAATAATCGATTGACCATCTTAATGGGACGAAGAGTGTCAAACTTTAAGATGCTCTGAAATGTTTAAATTTTGCTGTAAAAGAATTTAGATTTATTGCAAATGCATTCTCTTAAAACAAAGATGGCTGTTTAGAGATCCAGGGTTTGGCTTAAAACAGGACTTGCTTCTGAGTGTACCATTATTATAGATATCCCTTAAAATTCAGATTCTAAGCTTTAGTTTATCATAATTGTAAAATTTAAGCTTTCACTTCTCTAACTTTTAGGGGAGATAATGAAGTACTCTAACCAAGAAATTTCATCTAACCGAATTTTAGACTGAAAACATTACTCTAAAAACTCAACATTGGCATAAGCCTACTTCGGGATATACGATGACTCGGGAAGATCTCATTCAGATATTTATATGCCGAAGGATTGAGTTCTAAGCAAGTTATTTGAATTATTTAAACTTGAAATATGCCTAAAGTCTTTTTACCATTAGTTTCAAATTAAAACTCTGAATTTTCACAAACTCAATTTGCTCTGAAGCGTACCCTACGTTTACCACAACCTATGTATGCCTTCTTACTGATCCTCCACCTCGTTGCAAGTTCTTCTGCCTGCATCAGCATTAACACTAAAAAACCGGGTTTAAAAACTCCATAATTTTCTAGAAAAAGTTCTGAATCTCTAAGAAGTGGATATTTGGTGAATTTGAAAAAAAATCGAATTTATAAAATAGTGATTCATTGGCCATTATTATATTCATGCATTCATTATATCTGAACAGGTCTGATGACAATCGGAAAGGCCTCATGACAAGCCCTGGCAGACAAGACGCCCTTGTATATGGCTTTAATTGCAGTTTTAGCTATTTAAAATATAAATGGTACTATTTATCATGAGTTTTAGGACTTCAGAAAAATTCTTGGCCCAGATCTCTCCTACTTGTTAAGGAAAGAGATAGAAGTTATCCTCTGAATTTTTCATGATTTCTATATGATGGAAAGCTAAGAATCTGTTATTGAGAGCGAGAGTTAGGGCTATTGCTCCAATATCTCTTGAGATACTCAAGATATTGCTCTGAAAACTAGTAGGTTGTTTTACAATTTCTGCAAACTGGGAAAAAGTATTGTGGTGTACTCCATTTTCATGCAATGAGGGGTGTAAATATCACTTCTCTCAGATGTAAGATTTCTATCATAATTTTTCGTCTTCAAGATTATATGTGATCAGACTGGAGCAGGTTGCCTAGAAGAGGCTCCAGGCTCATAAGGCACAAGAAAATACTCTTTCTTTTTACCTGCCAAGAACAATTTGGGCTTAAAATATTTCTGAATTTCAGTTACTAACAACCGAAGTATATATTTCTAATTTATAAGATTTTGAGTGATTCATGAGGTGATTTACCAGTGACCAAACCAAACCCCTCAGAAAGGAATCAGCTCGACAGCTACTCTAATGAGGCTAGTTTTTAAATATTTCATAGAAAAAGTCTGGAGAAATAAACTGAAATTTCATGGTGTTCATCTGAGAATTTTTTATGTAAATAGGAACTTAATTCAATAAAAAAAATCCTCAATTTTTGTGCTTAAAATAGCATATTTATGGAGATTAAGACAGCGACATCATCAATAGGAGTCTAACTGAGACTAGAGCTAGAGGAATCACTTCTAATGATGTTATCATTTTAAATATCCAGAACAATAAATCAAATGGACATCTAAATTTACCTTGTTCCGCTTTCAGTAGGGCTTTAAATTTAATTAGGACTTATTCTTTTTATCATGGAGGGAGATATAAATACTTCTCTGGGATGATAAGAAGTCTCTTAAGATAACAACTTCACCTGAATTAGATAAAAATTTAAATTATTGACCATTTTTGTAAACCTCTATTTAAGCCTTAGAAGACTATAAACTAAGGATGATATTTTGATGCGAAGAGTCCCACAAGGACTTCAGCAGATTTCTGCCGAGCTTGATGGTCTGAAAATGCTAATAAAAATAAGAAATACATTTTCTTTGATACTAGTGAATCTAAAGGAATGTAATCATAAAAATTTGCTGTCATTAAAGAATAAAATTTCTCTAATTAATTGCAAATAAAAATCAGAGAACAAAGGTATGTATAAATCTTCCTTCAGTGTCATAGTTTATCAAGATTTCCATTCAGAAATAGCTTGATAAGTTAGGAGAAGATGATATAGAGGTACCTTCGATTTTTCCAAATGAGCTTCTAAGATTTAGCCAAGAAGAGACAATTTTGCTACATTTTTTCTCAAAAATGATTCCTATGAGCATTGGATTAAGCTATTTGAATGCTTGCTTTGAACCATACATCTATGTTTATTAGAAATTTGTCAGCTAATTCCTATTGCAATGCTAATCTTTCTGCTATAGTAAACTTCATTATTTATAAATTAATGACTCCTTATAGTCTTTTGCTTGGAGTGAGGGAGGTAAATATTCTACAAAGGTTATACTTTTAGATTGCTCAAGGAGTTAATCATTCTGCTACTTGTAATTTAATTCGAAGATGTCTCACAGTAAGCCTCCGCCTCTCAACTTGTGCTTTGGATAAGCCTCCCAGTTTTCGAGCTATGACAATAGTTGGAGGTAGGAAGAAACTAAGAATTAATATTTTATATTCATGAAGTTGTGGAAACATTATTTTTTAATTTAATCATGAATCTCTAACTCAATTTGTCAATCATCTATAGGGGTTTTGGGGTTTTGGGGTTTTGGGG